AAAAAGTATGGAGAAATAACCCAATCTGCTTTTGAAGGAGTTTTTCACAGAATTGGGATGCACGAGGATTACTGTATATAAATGTCCATCATTAGGCCTTTGATCACTTCATCAGCCAGACTGATGACACAACAATGTATGACACTGAGCAAAAGCATGGTGTGACTATTTTTACACTTCCTATTTGAACTTGAACAAGAGAGAAGTGTGATGTCTTCTGTACGTTTGTGGATGTATGGATGTATATACTGAGCACTCATCATGTGGCGAATAGGTCAGCTGAGCCAATTACGCTGTTGATAACCCTATGTAATGGGTATTTATAGGTTACTGCTATAGCATGAGCTTCGCTAGGCAGCCAGTCGTTCACTTAGTCAGTTAGCAGCTGAACTCTTAAACTATGTGAAATGGAAGATGACTTTAGTCACAGTGGTGAACTTGTTTGGCGTATTGATGGTTCCTATTTACTTTCAATATTTCAATACGTTTTACAAACAGAAAAAGTAGCCACACTAAAACATATGAATGGAAGTTATAGCATGTGGCAAGTCTATATTGTGCACCAGCATGCATCTATCAACTATAACAAAGTATTCTTTTTCACATTAACAGCCACGTGTTCTACATTACAGATGGTCTTGTGTGTGCAGTGAGAGTTTAACCCGCTATTGATCCCCCTTAAAAAGATGACTACATTTGGAAGATGTACTCGAGTAAGACCTCTCTAAGCTGTCAGCACAGCGTCTGGGTGAGGCAGACATCAATAAGCTTTGAGAGTTCATGGAAACATCTACTTCTGGCCTGTTCGCCTCATCTCGTGAATCAGCCTGACAACCAAACCCTTCTTATTTCTAGGATTACAGCTGCTTTGAAGAAAGAATATTGCCAAGACGCGTTGCAGCCAAATCTCATCACTCCTGTCCTTTCTGATCTCATCCCATCGGACACACTTAGATGCAATATCTAACACCTACACTAAAATAAAGAGTCCTTGTCCAAACCAAGCCATGAATCATTTATCTACAAGAGCTGCTTCATGATAAATATAAACCAATGTCAAGATGTACAATTCAGACACACACGCACGGACTGGACATGCGCACACACTATTTCTAAACGTCCAGTATCAGATTCGGCATCACTGTGTGTTGACAAACACTTTACTACTGAGTGGTGAGCAGCTTTTTCCACTGAAATTTTAAGGATAGAATGCAGAACAGCTGGTGTGAGGATTTCCTTTCATATTCATTGCACTTCAAAATGATGCACTGGCTATATTTATGGGCTGATATCAGCTTCTTAAGCTAGATTTGACATGCCAAGAAGAGCAATGGAGTACGATGACCTACTCCCCCTGGGGAGGCTGAGAGGTGAAGACTGAAGAGAGGGGCTCGCTTGGCTTTTTCAAGGCCTATTATATCATCTTACATTCAAAAGATTGACAGGAGCATGAGACAACAAAAAGAGTAACTCTTCCAAAAGACAACAAACAGGAAAACAAGACAAGATGTGCCATGGGAAAAGAAAGAAGGTGCAAAGGGATAATTCAAGAATGGTGGCAAGAGGAAGCTCTCGATCTGACTGGAGAGGAGTCAGAGCGATAGAAAGAAAGCAAGCAGGGAGGAAGGGAAGTCGGAGCAGAGCAAGTTGAAATGTATTTTTAGGAAGATGTTTATTTGTAGATCTGTGAAACCAACCCGGGGTGTATATCTACCAGCCTTGCCATCTCTCTCTGATACCATCTGTTGAGGTCTCTCAGCCTGTCACAGTGCTCTGGCTCTATAGGTGGGGGATTCTGCAGATTCACTGCAAAGAACCATCTGAACACGCATGTTAAAAATGCTGCTGTGCTGCACTATGCTATAATGCACCACAATAGTGCAAATTAGGTGTTATTAGATTAGACTGTATTAGATCAGATAAGAATAGATTAACCCTATGGAGAAATTGTCTTGTGGTGAAAGGAGCACAAAAATACATCAACGATAAATTGGTATAGATGCATTAATACATCAGCATAGAAGTACAGTAGTCTGGGTATTTTTACTGTTGACATTTCACTTATTGAGACATTATGATAATATTGATAAAGCCGCAACACGAACAAAAAAAACAGCTTCATTGTTAACTACGACTATGCAAAATACATATTGGTGTCTGTATCATCTGATTAGTGCCCAACATTGGTGCAGCCATTCTAGAGCAGAGAAAAGGAGAGAAAATTTAAAAAGCAACAGTTAAATTGTACTAAGTAGAAATAGATGAAAAAGTGCGAATGCTATTTTGCTTGGCTTTTTTCCCAAGTTTGTGCCTCTCCTGTCATGTTGGTTAATAACTGCTTTTGCATTTTGAGACTTGTCCTATGTTTGAAGTGCACGTCTTTTGACAGGATACTTACAGTATTTCTGAAGACATTTCCACATTGCCAGATAGACTCTTCTATTCGACTGGAACAAAACATATTACATCTACTTCACAATAAGAAAGACTTTTAACCCGTTTTCTGCGTTATAACCATCAAAACAGGAAGTGACTGATTGTTTCTACAGGTAGATTAATCAATTTACCTATGAATTCATGTGTGTGTATATATATATATATATATATATATATATATATATATATATATATATATCTTTCAAATTTATACTATTTAAAGATTCATATTTTTATGGCATCTGTTTTGGGTTAACATCAAAGTGCAAGTTTTTTTTTAACTTTTTTACTCTTTGTGCCACAGACTGACTGTTTTTGTTCAAGCTGGGATTTTGATGTAGCCTACTTGGCGAGCTAATCATCAGTGTACAGGTCTAAAATGTAAAGCATTCTTGCTCTATATCCAGGCCTAAAATAGGCTACTATCTGTACTATGCGTTGTATCACAAAGTCTGACACTTAATGGTATTTCTAAACCGTACAAAATTATATCTACCTGGCAGCTATTTTCAGCTTGGGCTCCAAGATTTCTGAGGTGGAGGATGGCAACTGTGGTCATCCAACATGGCGGCCATATCAACCAGTAGGTTGCCTTAAGCTAACCAACCAAGGATGATAAACATCTTCCCACTTAACTGAAATACTGCGGTAGCAGGACAACTTATGTATCAGGGGGAAATTTAGACTAATTATAAAACTGTATTAACCTTTGCGGGTGTTGTTGTTTCTGTCACCTGTGTCAGTTGATTTTTTAGCTCTGACAGCTCATTAAACGCACCTGTCAAGCTCGTCCTCCACGTGGCAAGGCCAGCTGGTCGCCTTGGAAACAGCCGGTGTTCTGTCGATTTATGCTACCTATGGAGATGTGCTACTTGGCAGTTATTTGCATGCCTATTGGTTAGGGTTAGGGTTAGGCGTTAGCAGTTTGCATTAAGGTTGCATTTTTCGATAAGGAAGCATAAATCGTCAGGACACGGGCTCCTCCCCCGGCTAGCTTTAGTATGTTTGGGGGTTTGCTTGTTCTTTTGTATATTGTTCTATGCAAAAAATGTATATTTTAAATTACACATATACCTAGGCTACATATCTCGGCCTAAAATAGATGTTAAACTGACTTCAATCAATCAATTCAAAATGACTGTAAGTAGGCGAGGTTTCTCTCTCCCTTAACTTCACACCGGCCTTTGCATTTAGTGTTGTTTTTCAACATTGTTAAAACCCAGATAAATGCATGTGTGTTTTATAATATATGATTTAAATGTAGGCAGACTGGGGGAGGGTGGTATTATATTTAGACAGTCTTCGCAAAGCAATCGGGGGTAACTGAAAGACAACACTGAGAAACTTCCATGCCTAAAATATCTGCCCACACAGCTTCCAGCAGGACTGTAAGTGCCAGCTGCGAGAACAGAGGCTCACATGCCCTGTTTCATGCTGGGCCGTTTTAAACTTTACACAAAATTATGGGGAGACCTGTGACTACGAAACCGTACGTTTTGTTATGTTAAAATGCATAAAAGGGACTTGTTGATAGTGTGAGGGCATGGGTCAATCTGTGCGTAATTACGCACGGTGGCACCAGCGTAACTCGCAAGCTCAGAGCCTCCAGATCCAAACCTACCTTCCTCTGCTGCTTCTCCCAGGCAGGGTCCAGCAGCAGGTCCCTGTCCCAGTCATCCTCTTGGGTCATGTACGCTTCTTCTTGATGGATCACGTAGGAGTTGCTGTATGTCATTTGGGTTTCGACAGCTGTCATCGTGCCGCCTTTTGTCAGGACTTCTCACGTCCCCCTCAGTTTATAGTAAAAAAAAAAATTAATCAGCAATCGAAACGACGACGACGCCGTGAGGGCAAGAACCTCCTTGAGACGAGGGGTCTCGCTTTCGGGGGGAGAGACAGTTAGGGGCTGCAGAGAACAGACTCCACTGGTGCGAGGTGCCTGTGCGGAGGTGGTGCTCCCACTACCAGAAGACCCTGCTGGCCGGTGCTCCTTTCCTGGTCAAAAGTGACACACGTGACCGCACCCCAATAAATATGGGGACCGACAGCTTGGGTATCGAGTTCTGACCCTAAAAAGGTGTTAAAGGCGGGGTAATCTCCCGCGGGCAGGGTTAAGGGCTTGTGAGTGGTGTGGAGGGATGTCAATTACGCCCCCTTGCACCAGAGAAGTTTTTATGGCCTGTGCAATGCACCTGTTGCTGTTAGTGACCCTCAATGGCAAACCCAGGTCTCTGTAGTTTCAGCCTACCTCTCCTGGGAAACAGGATCAAAGAACTGAATCTCAAATAAAAACCAAAATAAATAGTTAACATTAAGTCCTTTAAGAACTTTTGAAAAGGTCCCCCCTCTGGAGCTCTCTAGGCTCCAGACAAAGTATCCCTGGGCCTGTTCTGCAGAGACTGACAGCACCTCAAACCATCTTATTGCACACTGCTGAGAACGAGCACACACAGTTTATTCTGCTTATTTTCATAAAATATGTTAAATGGTATAAAAGAGTAACAATAAATATTCAAGGAATTATGTGTCTTTGATTCTATTTGAGACAAACAACAATCAGGCACTTTTACAAGAAAAAAATAAATTTATTCATGATTTGCATGCAGACTGAAAAATGCCTCAGAACGTATTCAGAAATACAGATTAAAAAGGCATCTATATGCATACACAACCTTACAGTATAATTAATGTTTATATCAGTATTTGTCATCATTCACAGTAAACAGGTTGATTCAACGATTTCATATGACATTCATCACCCCCCCCCCCCCATCCCATTTGAATTTGTGCTGGAACAAATTTCCTTGAAATGAGCAGATCCAGATTGCTATCCTCTCGAGGTGACACATTATTCCGTCATCCCTGATGTATCTTTGGAAACTAGAATGATTTATATTCTAATTAATCAGACATTGACATGTAACTACACTGGGCTTGGTCCATTAACCTACTTGAAGAAGCTTAGCTACTGTGCGACTATTTGGGGTTACCATTGGGTACATTACCGTGCTACTACTGAGCTGAGGGAATCGGAAAGGGTTGATGACTGTAAACATCATGAAACTATGTGAGTTTCAATATGAACTTGGACCACGGAAAAAGACTGACAGGAAATGGACGAAATAAAATGAACACCTTACAATGTAATGCACGCCAAGACACCCTGCAGCATTAAGAATGAATCATTATTATACCACCAATTCTCAACAGATACTAAACATTGTTTCTTAATAAATGTAGGGATATTGTATTGAACTACATTAGATTCTGCTGGTGTTCATGTTGTGTCCATTACCTGTAGATGAGGTAAGGGCTGAGGTATGACCCTAGCATCTTTATCTGAAGAACAAATGAGCAGCAGTTGAGTCTGATATGTAATCCACATCTGTGCTAGAGGAGCACAGAGAATAGTCAAGGTTACTGAATGTGAACAAACTCAAAAAGGCAATACGGTCAATGGGCTCAAACAAACCGGAATGTGTTCCAGATGCACACGCGCACACACACTTGCACATGCTCAGCTGAAAACCTGCTGCAGGAGAACAGATGTAACCTGTAGGATCCCATCAAAACAACACAACACAGTGCACACAGAGCATCTGGATTATAGTTCTTCAGCCGTCCAAACCACAGAAGGCGGGGGGGGGGGGGGGGGGGGGGGGGGTTGGGAGGAGGCTGCAGTGAGCTTTGGCTGTCAGTACAGCGTGACTGTAAATTCAGAGCAGGGTGGGGTTAAAGATGCATGGCTGCATTCACCCAAGCACGGGAAGCCCAGACTCGCAAGCACCCAAAGAAGCCTTTAGTGAGGAGCTGGGAAAGTGGAGGATAAAAAATTGGAGCACCACACGCCCTGATCATGGAGGCCGGGGGAAGAGCGCCAGCCCTTGATCTACTCATTCGAAAGCTGCATTTTTTTCAGGGTAATTCTAATGAAATTGACTTGTTGTTGCATTGTTTTTCCTGACTACGTGTACAGTTATTTGAAGGGATTACATTTTCATTTATCTCGGGAACACACAGTGTCTGGAAATGCAACATCAGTTTTCGTGGAATTCTGCACTAGTAAACTCAGAAATTGACTCCTGAGAGTCAAAGCTGCATTATCAGGATACACTACGGATAATTAAATCTCCAGTGTAAAGATGGCCCCTTTTAGAATAAGATTATGGCCAGTATATACAGTATCTCACAAAAGTGAGTACACCCCTCACATTTTTATAAATATTTGATTATATCTTTTCATGTGACACTGGCTGTGTGATGTGTTATTTTGAGGGGACAGCAAATTTACACTGTTATACAAGCTGTACACTCACTACATTACATTGTACCGAAGTGCCATTTCTTCAGTGTTGTCACATGAAAAGATATAATCAAATATTTACAAAAATGTCTGGAGTGTACTCACTTTCGTGAGATACTGTATATACTATGACAGGCAACAACAGGGTCCTACAAGATCAGGAAGGTGAGGTTAGGGAGCAGCTTCGGAAAGAGGATCCTTCCACTACCAACTCACCTTATAATCAACTATTCATTCCACTCCTTCGCCTTCCCTTTCCTTTGTTTGCTAGGCAGACAGAAGGCAACGCCCTCTTTGTCTCGACTCCATCTTGCAGCTGTCAGAGCAAATGCCAGACAACTCATTTGACATACTAAACGTCCACAAGTGTGGGATCATGTGTGAGGGTTAAGCTCTCTATCTCGGCACATGGACACTCTTTACAGGTAAAAACACATACAAGTCACTTAAGAGCGCATATCCAGCCAGTCCAGCTGATCACAGTATTACAGAAATAGAGCTGCCATGCCAGAAAAGTCCTATAGGAACCCTGAGATTGATGAGAATCTACAGGTCAGACTGGCCTCATACCTAGGCCTATCTTATAGGACGTTTCTGATTGGCACACAGGCTGTGAGGGACCTAAAGGTAAGAATTGTTTGAGGTTCCATAGTTTGAGGTGATTTGTCACTTAAGATGTAATGGAGCTAAGTTAGTTTGGGGAAACAGGAGTTAAGATCCCTTCCACAGCCATGTGGAGCAAACCCAGCATTCAACAGTTTTAGCAAAGCGGCTTGTCCAACATTGAAGTCTCTCTGTGTCATGTTCCGGTGGCAGGCCACCACACATACACTGTCCATTGGCACGCCCAGGCCTCTATGGTAAGGAGGATGGGGAGGTAAGGTCAGGTGGGTGGTTCTGGGAAGTTGAGTCCGAGCCAGAGCCACGAACCCAGATCCAAGGTGGCGACGGCGGTGGCGGCGGAATAAAAAAGCGCTGTGTATGTGTGAACGGCGGAGGAGAGGCGCATAGGGACAGTAGGGTGGGGTTGAGGACGAGGAAAGAGGGAGGGGGAGGAAGAGAGGGTGGGGGGCAGTGGTGGGGGTAAGGGCGGCGAATACGGCGGTGGAGAGGAGTTGACTAGCGGGAAGGGAAAGGGTGTGTCCGCATGTGCCAAGCCTCACCAATCAATAAAACACCACCCAAAAAGATCTTTAGACATCCATACTCTCTCTCTGTTATTCACTCACTCATCCTCTCTTTCACTCACACACACACACACACACGAAGGACACAGAGGGCACAGTCAGTCGCCTTATATGCTGATGCGAGACAGGACTCTTGAGTCTTGTGGAAGGGGTCTTAGCCCCACACCACCGCCCCCCCCCCACCGATTGCACTGCCATTGCAGCTGAGGAGGAGTTACGGGGTTGGAGAGGGGGACAGGTGGTGATGGGGGGGGGGGTGTTTGGTCAAGGCACAGTCAAAGGAGGGGCGGCAGGTGGGGAGAGGAGAGGTCAGTGCTTTTGCTTCGGTTTTTTATTTTTTTATTTTTTTTTATTTACCTTGGTGGTGAAGAGAGAGAGAACAAGTCCCAACTGCGGTGGCATCGCGCTTAAAAGTTGTCCCCATGGCTCACGCCGCCACGCTCACGCACGGCTGCACGCTGGCCGTTCCAGGTGGCACGGTGACCTAATTCAGTTGAGATAGTTAGTTCAGAGCTGGACTGTCGCGGGGCTTTTTTTTTTGCGGCAGAGTTACAGATTATCACACATGCAGGTCTGAGAGTAGAGTGGACACAGAGACACACGGAGGGGGAGAATTTGGTGCAGCAGGAAGAGACCAGACCAGACGCACACCCATCAACCCCAGGAACAGGACTGCTCCACAGATCAAAATGCACCCAGGCCATTCTATCTGTGTGCCTCTCCCCAGCTCTCAACATGATTTCAGAGTGGGTATAATATCCTCTCTGCAGGAAAATCACTTTACAAAGACCATACCAAGCCTTTCTTGCCAAAATGAAATACTGAAGTGCATTTGGTCAAGTGCAAACCACTTCACAGAAATTTTGGTTTGCACCCAGTTTGAGAGGCTGGAGAGAGAAAGGAGCACCAACCCGCACTTACCCTGACCAAAGAGAGCAAAGCTGGGCCAGCATCTACACCTGTCTCCCACTGGGTCCCCAGTCAAATGGGTCTGGTGGTCATTTTACACAAGAGAAACAGATAGTGGAGAAGAACAACATAAACAAGAAGGGGAAATGTCCAAACCCTTTGCTTTCTTTTACCACAGTAGTAAGCCAAACATTCTTTATTATAATAATGATTATAGTATACATATTTTTCAATTAAAAAGCATGCTGATTTTGTTTTTTGATTTTTTTTGTCTTTTCCTAAAAAAAAAAAAAGGCAAAAATTAAAATACCTCTCTAAAAAATAACGTCTCAAACATGGCAAACAAGACATTTCGCAAACCACATAATTCTACAAAGGATGCAACTGGTATGTGTTTGTATATACAACACAGAAAGATTACACTGTGAGATGCAAAAGTCACTTAACCACTAAAAACCACACAGGGGAGAGAGGGGGGGGGGGACAGCGAGGCAGTAAGGTGATTTCAGAGGGCATGTCTGTGTGTGCATCAGACTGCTGTCAGATAGTAGTTGCAAAAAACTCCCAAGTGATTGTTTTAAGTGATTGCAGAACCAAATGGGTGGGATTTGCCATTCAGGACAAGTTCATGAATAAAAAAAATTAAATAAAAAAGGTACCTGTCCTTGAAAGTCAAGCTTTTGTTATTCCTGATGTAGCAAACCCCACCTATCAGATCCAATAACTGGAATAAAAACAGACACTAAACTTTTTTTTTGCAATTACAATCTGAAGCAGGTCTGGTATTTGGAAAAAAAGTAGGATAGCTGGGGCAACTGGAAGTCACTGCCCCATCTCTCACTTCATTGGTGCTATCACTATCATTCCTGCTTAAAACCAGCAGCTAAATATGAACCTGTCAGGCTCAGTTTGTGGCTTTTTAAAAACCCTATGATATGAAACAAATCTAACACAAGTCCACGAGAAAGCTTCACTGCTCGCCTTCTGGATACTAAGCTCAGGAGGGCTCCTGTTACCCCCCGTTGAAATTATTAAAAAGTCATAAGCACTTAAAATGGGGGGGGTCCCTCCTCTTAATGCACTTCACTCAAAGCTTATAGGCACATAATTGAGCTTGTCACATATGATTCCCAATAGGATGATGTGTAAATATCCTTTGTAAACAGCTCATTCAGTAGTCACACATGGGTTTTTTTCGATTTACAATTCATTACATCCCAGGATGACTTGTGTTACACGTAAACAAACAAAACACTATTTTTAAAAAAAGGCCTCTGAACATGTATGAGGACAGAATATCTACAAAAGTCATTGTCACTAAAAACCGGCTCCTCCCTCCCTAAACTGCTGACCCTGTACCTTTTACGAGGAGCAGGAAATTAACTGCTGACCGGGTGAAAAGTGTGGAATATGGTATAATAGAATAGACTCTACACTGAAATTTACAGTAAGAGGTAGGCAGCTGTAGTTAGAAAGAGAAAGAGAGGTGAAGCAGTGTCTTCCAGTGTTAGTTAGAGTACAGGTGGGGGAAAGAGGGTCAAGGAGAGATCCAAACATACATTACAGTACGTATTATGTGTGCTTTACGTTTTTTTTTTTTTTCTTTCTGCAAGGTGCAGTCTGCTGCTGCGTTTGTGCGCTGCATGGTCAGGAGCCATCATATACATCTCTCTCTCTTTCACACATACTACATCCACATCACATTCAAGACAAACACCCCCTAAAACACGTCAACCTTGGTACTGTTGGACACAGTGCAATGCAGCCAGTACACAATGTGTGTCTATCTGACTTCCCATCTGATTACATTACAAATCAAACTCTTCAACATAAGGCAAAAAAGGTTTCAAATTAGCTGCCCTAACTGATCATCTAGGCCTAAGGAGGATGGCTGATGACTGGTTCATAAACCAATGTCTTATCGTAGATTTGGCCGTAGAAAATCATAACTGGGTTGCGGAAATAAAGGCATATGAAACGACTGACTGGGTCAGTCTAATACTGGCACAAGTGTGAGACTGGCACAATTAAAAGTAAAACTGAGAAGCACAAAGAATGCCCGTGCAACAGATGGGAGCCTCCCTTTCATGGCTGCACTGTGTGTGCGCACAAACAGGACCAAGGTCAGCTGATCCTCGTAAAGCAGGTTAATAAACCAAGGAGCCCCCCAGTTTCAAACCCCACCCCACACACTTAAGAGCCCCCAGATGCACACACACTCACATACAGCTGCTGTAAGGTGGTCAAGGTTTGGGGTGGAAAAGGAGACAGGGGTGTGGGGGGGTTCAGGGCAAAGAGGAAAGGGTAGGGGCAGAGAGTTGTGTGCGACTATCGGAATGGGGGCTCAGGCGTGTGAAGGGAGAGTTCGGGGCGGCGGAGGATGGCCTCCTTGCGCGTGGGCGGCGGCAACGGCGGCTCATACACCCTGGGCGCAGCCATGGCGGCTGCCACTGCCGCAGCGGTGGGGACCACTGGCCTGAGGGCGTCCAGCGTGGCGACTGACTGGGCAGACATCGCGGATACTGTAGGGACTGCAGACACTCCCGGCATTCCAGGGATGGCTGTCACTGTGCTTGGTGGTGGGTAGGCATACTGGAATTGGGGGTACTGCTGCAGCTGCTGGTAGTACTCTGCATAGTACCTACGAGTAGGGAGGAAGGGGAACAGAGATGGGTTATGGTAGGGAGAGGAGGGTTTAGGTAGGAAGAGGGTCAATAAAGGCATTTATTGGGAGTAACAAGAGTGTGATAAAGTGAACAAAAAACATAACAGCATAATTCAGCCATGAGGAATGTGCCCAGAAGATTGAAAGCATGACTTTAAACAAGCAAGAATCAGATTCCTAGAGGTAAAGAGTTGGAAAGTAAAGTAGTAGAGATCCTGAATCTCTGCTCTCTCTGGGATTGTGTCAGGGGAACTGCATAGCAGATGGTAAAGAGAAAGACCATGTCCTACCTGGCCATGGGGTCCTCTGCAGCCTCTGCTGCCTCTTCTGCTGCTCGGCCAGCTGGTGTGGGGAGCAGGGGTCGGCGTGGTTTGGCTCTCTGGTACATGAACGGCTTCATCACTGGGTCTGGTAAGAGAGGTAGCGACCTCCGTAGGGGACTGCGGTCCCTCTCACCAGATTTTGCCACAGCAGCCGCGGCAGCAGCAGCCGCTGAGTGCTGCTCAGCCACAACCTGCTGGCCCTGGGCAAAGTAATGTGCCTGCCTGGCTGCCTCAAAGATGGCTGCAGTATGGTCCGCTGCTCCCATGGCGCTTATATGAGCGTAGGCTGGTGTGGCCGCACCATAAATTGCTTGAGCTACTGTGTAGGCAGGGTTGACTGCGGCCGCTGCTGTTTGCATTTCTAATCCATGTGCAGCAGTCAGATAGACAGGGGGGTTGGCCATAGTTGGGGTGTAAACCGGAGTCGCGTAGGCAGCAGCGGCAGCAGCTGCAGCGGCCGGAGTTGCAGCCATCTGGCCGTAGATGTTAGGGGTCATAGAGCTGTACATTTGGTGTGTGGCACCTGATGTAAGAGCTGCCTGATTGGCCATCGTTCCATAAAGCTGATTGGCAACATTGGCACCATACACCTGGCTGGCAAGGGCACCATAAACAGCTGGATTGACCGGATTTCCATCAGTGCGTGTGCCTGTAGTGATCCCAGTGAGAGCAGCATATGTCGGGTCAAAGGTGGAGGTGTTGTAGACAGAGTTGTGCACACTTTGCTGGACCTGTAGTGGCAGGCCGGCGGCGGCAGCAGCGGCAGCAGCCAGAACCGCTGCTTGACTCTGGTACTGCTCCAGAGAAGGCTTCCCCACGGGGCATTCTCCAGCATAGTGGCCCTGCTTTCCACAGTTAACACAGGGGATTTTTCCTGTAGGTGCCTGCTTGCTGGGCTGGACCTTGGACAGCTCTACAGACAGGGGGCGGCCTTTAAACGAGGTGCCGTGCAGGGCCTCGATGGCCTGGAGTGCATCTTCCTTGTTTTCCATGTGGACAAAGGCATAGCCTGCAGAAGAGGAATGCCTGGCTGTCATTGAGCGCAGGGACAACAGTTAGCATCACAGTGGCATTGCCACAGGCACTTACTTATTACTTCTATGAAAAAGTATAAATTGTGCCAAAGGAAACCTCCTTTCCATCATTACAACAAGGACGTGGGGGTTTATCTTGTTTTGCACACTGAGACATCGCATAGTCAGACTAACACACTGTAGCACTCATAATCTCTCAGCAACTCAACACTAAGAATAAGTCTCAGAATCAATCTCTTACCTGCACTACAACATGACTTCACTCATACACTAGTTCCACAATTTTTCTTACGTCAAGCACAACTTGAGTATGATGTGACTGGGAGCATTTTAAAACAAGTCAAATGTTACAAGGGACTTCGCTCACCTTTGACTTTGTCACATTCAAGAACTTTTCCAAATGTCTGGAACAGCTGTTGCAGGTCTTCAGTGGTGCACATTCCACTCAGATTACCCACAAACACCTTGGTGGAGTGCAATGGCCTTCCCCTCGACTCCTCCACCACCAAATTTCGTCCACGAAACTCCCGTCCATTGAGCTCCCGGATGGCGCGCTCGGCGGCACCCTCACCCTGCAGGTGGACGAAGGCAAACTGCCGCAGCACGCTGCAGCTGACCACCTGGCCGTAGGGTTCGAAAATGGCTGACAGCTCCTCCTGGGTGGTGTCCAACGCCAGGTTGCCCACGAAGAGCTTCACTGTGTTGCTCTTGTCCATGGCGCTGCAGAGAAACAGAAGTGATGTACTTGACTGTAGTTAGAGATAAGTGAGGGGATTAACTACATAGTACAACTATCGGCTATGCAATTATTTGAAAACAGGGGTGGACTGCAGCAGTACACAGGCACATAGCTGAACCACCTATTGGGGGGGGGGGGGGGGGGGGGTACATCAATAACACATGTAAGACACTATGCAGCATTCACTCAAATAAAAAAAATGCATAAACTTCAAGGAAACTGTTATACATACACTCTCTTGACAAAGAACCTCAGTGCGTGAATGAGCAGCCAGATTAACATTCAAATATCATAAATCAAAAACCACACAGACATCACATTTACCTGTGATCTGACCGCTTGGGTCAGATAAACACATATTAGGAAAACAGAGCAGAGGGTTTCCCTACAGGGAACAAGGACACAGAGTATGTCTGTGAATAACAGCCAAAGGCACCTAAAGGATCGAATTAAAGATCTCTGTGCAGACGATCTCATTCTCACTCGAGGTGGCTGTTCCTCCATTACGAAACAGCTATGAGTCACACTCATACACAGGAGAGGGCCAGCGGGAAAGGAGCATTTTACACCAATACCTTCAAGTGAGAGCAGAGTGCATCACCTCACATGGCATTTACAGTGATGATAATACAAACTTTTAGACAACATGGCCCCTTAGTGTTGAAAAAGCTGCTTTAACATTCCTAAATTTCCTCCTCACAGGCTTCTGGACATACAGGTAAAACTGGAGCGTTCCTGCAGGTTGGCCAACACCTTTCCATCTCCTGAACAACCGTTATGGCTGGTTGTAAATCAAAGGTCAAACTGGAACATGACACCAGAGAATGACATTTCTATTTTTTGGTTTAGGGCTCCAGCCAGCTGCCACTGGCTCAATTACACCTCCTACCGCTGCTGCTCATAGAAAACATGTCAAAAGAGATGCAAGTAATCTGCTTTAGTGTTAAAACACTATGTTCATGAGAGTAACCCCCTGTGATATGGCTGCTGCAGTAACACTGGGTTCGTTTGAGGTATAACCAGGGGGAAGCTGGTTTTGTGATGACGCAGCACGACGCTGAGTCAACACATTTCCACAGCTCGGTTCATTTAAATGCGAAAAAATGGACTAAAAGACACAAGTTAAGTTGGTTAGACACGTCAGATAGCTTAATGGCATTGCCCACGTTCGCTTTATAAATGTGAATGGCAAGACAGGATGGGTATTGGTTTCCCCCGGGCGCCCAAAGCAAAACAAGTCCCACGGCGAAAACAAGCATGGGAGAAAAAATAAACAAAACCACTTGTTTTAAGCTGTAATATACAACGAGGGCGACAAACTACATAATACCTGATAAAAAAACTGGCTCTCAATAAGGGATCGATACAATGTAACGTTAACAATCATTTTTCCGCACAGGACTGAGTAGTGTAGCCGCGAGTGATTCCTGTGCAACAACACGGTCTAACAGCCTTTGTCGCTAAAACATACCAGTGGAAAACACTTCAGCTTTAAGACCAATAGGAATTATTAGATCCCATGCGGCTCAGATGAGAATAATACTGCAGAAAAGGCGATTAAATAAAAGGATCTACCATCTTACCTAGGCGGTGCTGCGTTTCAAAATGGTAGCGCCTGCTTCCGTTTGCATGTCGGGCATACTGCTGGAGAGGCTGCAGAGGGGGAGGGCGGCTGCTGCTGCTGCTGCTGCTGCAGCACCCGGAGGATGCTGAATCCTCACAAAAACCACTCATAAAATGACTCAAGCACATACAGTATGCGTGCACAAAGCCAGTGTAAGCCCATTTAATGTATTAGAGCCACCAGAATAATTAAAAGCTACCTCATAGCTACAGGGTTCTGCTCCAAAGAGACAGGCAACAAGTGAGTTTAATTAAAGAGCTCATTATGGGCCATGGTAAAAAAATAAACACATTTGTTTAACAACAGAACAGATAAGTGCAAAATTACTGTTAATGCGGGCATTGTATGACAGAGATTTACACACTGAAGTAGTGCTGGAAAGTGAATCAGCAAAAATGTTAATCATTTATCAAGCAAAAGCACCAGATTCCAGCATCTACTTTTCACTGATTTATATTACTGTATATACATACAATATACTGTGCAAGTATATTTTTGGATTAATGGAGGGACAAAAAAAGAAGATTATTTCAAGGCAAAACTTTCGGCTCTGAAAAATACAGATATTTTCACTGATTTCTGATATTTAAAGGAATAAATTGTGAAAAACAACCCCCCCAAACAATCCACCCTAATCTGCACTCAAGGTGCGTTTACAGCCCTCAGACACAAATGGAAAAAAGGACACCGACTGAACTTTTGGTGGAAAATTCAATACGCTTATTCAAGCATCACCAGGACAAGACAGATGCTCAATTTGGAAAAAAAAAATCTATGCAAAACCTGCTACACACACTCACATGGCCAATACGGTGCACACAATGTCCCAATATTGATGTCTTTGCCAAGAGGGAAAAAAATATCCATTATGTGTTAACAGAAACAAGTGTCAGTAGGTAGAAGTTTTGTACATTATTATACTTCAATCATTGTGTACAACTTCTGACAAGAGAAGACAACAGACGATTTGAAGCAGAAACTGCCCCCTAAAAAGTCAATTTTTCCTACATTCTATGACTTTAAAGTTGGCTGCAGTAATAATGAAAGAACTGTACACTCAAACTCCATGTTGAAAGAACAGCTGAGCGCCCCCCCCAAACTTCCACACCCTTGTCCTTTCAATCTGGATGGAATTTGACTCTCTCCCTCAAGCTCTTTTGAATCTCTCTCACACAAGTCACTCACACCACCTTATGGATTTTAAATGAACACGCTCAAGTGGCTCAGATTCCCTCTCCCACATGTCCTGACTTAGTCCAGTGGTTCCCAAGCTTTTCTGTCAAGTACCTTGGTACCTTGCACCCTTTTAAGCAAATTAAATGTTTCAAAATAACAGGTCATGATGGTTCCATGGCTGCACATGTTCACAAATGTCCATGTTTAGGCTGATTCTACCACCTGGAGTGGATGAATCTGGTTGTTTCAGCCATTGATCTATTACTTTCAGCAATCTATTTGGACCTTTTTTTGTTGCCTTTTAAACTCGCTTTTACGCATTCTCAAATCGCAACACTTGGTGTTACAGCTGTAGGTTGTTGTGAACATGAGACGTACCCCGAGGAGTTGGCCTATTGCAGCTTGAAGGCTACTAATCTTTGTGACAGTAAATTAACTAGTTCAGCATCACACCATTTTGCAATCCTATTTGTGTTTTGATTTTCCTCCACACTGCTTCCACGTATCCACTGCACTGCAGAAGTAACCCCTGGTGAATAAGTGCCCCTGGCTGGGAATCACTGAGTTAACTCAGTGATTAGAGTTAGGTGATGAGAGTTGTAGGATGTTAGCAGTGTAATGTTTTTTTTTTTTTACTACTACTGTTTTTGAGAGGCTTGCATGATTCATTCATACACTTTAACAGCAAATTGAAGTGCATTTAATCGCAGCCAGTACACAGCTAAAATGGGTACCTCAAATCTTACAAGCGCATCAATTTAGACAGTGACGAGACAGATGTGCCAGAGGCGACTGGTTATACAAAGATTTAACAGTATTTACAGACATCTAGCTAATCAGAGGTTACCTTTCTCAACTCCCAAGCTAATCTGCTTTAGTGCTTTTATAATCCTCAGAGGGCACAAACAGCCACTGCAAGAGTATTAGATTTCCTCACTGCAAAAAATATCAAGAAAATAAGGCTATTTTTCTTTGGTCATCTGCCCAGCTGTCTGGAAATATATTCCTCAGTGCTCCATGTCGCTCGCTTCACTCTGACCCTCTGTCGACAAATGACCCCCTGCATTTCTTTTCAAACTGTCCAACATAGGTTACAGATGTGTTTGGCGTTTCAGATGTTCAGAGGTGTGCTGCCGGAGTCTCTGTGCTGGCCTTTCTTCGACCTTTCCCAGCTATCGGTCTGTCTCTCTCCTCCCACAGCGTGACCCCGTCACAGGCACAAATCTGTTTGGGGTTTTGGAAAAGACCTGCTGATCGGGCGATGATCCCACAGGCCAGCCTGTAGAGGAGAGAAAGAGAGACAGGAAAATTATATGCAATCAAAACAGCTTCAAAAGTGCCTCCTCTCTCTACCAGCAGTACCTGCAGGGAGTGAATCACAGCAGCAGCTGAGGAGGAGGAGGACTGTCTGTCTGAGTTTTGCATTCTTTCTAAATTTTACTCAATATTTTGATGTCAGATATATGATTTATTTTACGGACACTCAAGATTTGTTTCCAGTGAGATATTATTCATATGGTGACTTTGCTGTTGCTGCTCTAGAAAACAAGATTTAGTTATATTTAAAATATTCATTTCTTATCCTGTTTGGAATTTATAGACAACCAGGCAGCTAATACACACACTTAAATATTGAACAATGTTATTTCACATTGTAGATTTGCCTCATATCGTGCAGGCCTAATATGAACTGATGTAATACGGGGACTCTGATGTGGTCAAATCAATATCACAATAATTTAATACAGATAAATAAATACATTGTAAATACATTTAAATTACTGCAGATTTAAAATAGGTTTATTACAAAATGGCTAATAATGTTCGTTGCACCAAACTGCATGTCAATGTTCACTGAAATACTACCAATACAAGGAAATATTTATGATATGGATTTGCTGATCAGAAGCTCCAGAACAGCTACTAAAGTAACCCTGAGGTGAGACTGTTTTGACGTTTTGTTCCACAACTTCTTTCATTTATTATTTTTAAAACAACCCAAAATAAAGTCATCCGAAAGGTCTATCACAATATTACTTAACAAAACTTTCACAGTGACAAGCTCACATTTACACCCTCTGTGAAAAACAGAGGCAGTGGACACATTAATAGAAACACCTTACAGTATATATGCCACCTCTCAGGGACCTGGGCTACTGGTGCTAAAGCTGTTCCTGTTATTTTGTCTACCCCCTGCAATACTGAATGAACCTATCAATGCCCAGCTCAGACTACGTATCCCACCTCACATCTTATTTTGTACTCCCAACTTAAACCACAGCTGTTGTCCCACCTTTCCCCAGAGTTTCCAGTCTGTTTGGAGAGAGGGTGATTGCCTCGACCCAGATCGTCCTCCCCTGCGTCCACTACCAGCGATCGGCCAATCACATCCCACACCTGCGGCATGGGCAACAAGGTGTCAGTAAAGAAGAGATTAAAAGCTGCCATGTGGTGTTGTTTTTCAAAATAGATGTTGCTATATGACATCTTTGCCTGCCTTACAACCAGTGAAAAACATGGCTCTGTGTTTTTGTGTGTGTGTGTGTGTGTGTTACTTTTATCTGATGGTCCTCTTGCCTAAATGAGGTTCTGCCATCTGGTCCAGCAACAATATTTCCCAGATCACCTACATGCTGAAATAAAATACTGCTTGTGAGATGAATTACACAGAACCACAATGAATGAATAACACTGAAAAGTGAACCACAGAAATAAATACACAAGGAGCGCACAGCATGAAAGCCAGAAGACGCTGCCTCAGACTTGTACCTCTTTCACACACTTTATTGAAAATTTTGCACCTGAAGCAGGACTGCTCAAAATGGCTCCTGCGGGACACATTTGGCAATCTCAGAAGGGTATCACATATTACATTTGGCTTGGATTGAAGTTTTAATATATCTTTGGAGTGATTTTGTCAGAATTTATGATGAGAGGATATATTATTTACTTTGTGTTTTGCTCCTTGATCCTCTGACATCTCAATGTTCTGGCACATTTTCTCCAAATTATAAAAATGAATGGTAAAGTGATTTTTATAGTTATAAGGAACAGATATGACTGTACCCTTTCAGAGTCCCCTGGACCACCGTGTTGTCTTCCAAAGGGGTTATAGTGCTCTCCGCAACTGTAAAAAAGAAGAAAAAAATAAATATAGAAAAGCTAAAACATGCTGTTGCTGTCAATGTGTCATTTGCTGTCCACAGTTGTTAGAGTTGCAAAATGAGAAGATTCATTTGGGGACAGACAAGATAAGGTGACTGACAGCTGGAGCACCATGAATCATCAGTGTAAAAGATTAGCAACCATGCTAAAAATGTTTAAAATGTGATTTTGTTTTTGGTGATACTTTCTTTTGCTTCTTGAAAAATGTTCAGTTTAAAAAGTCAAAGGCACACACCCATGTACATCAAAATTTAAGTATAGAAGTCAACCATGACTCTGAGACACAGCATCACTGCAGTTATGTGTGGCGCTAATTGCTAAGTGGAAGCTTTACATGAACCTCAGCATGTCAGAACAGCTCTGATTCACAGCCTCAAACTGGCTTCTTCTCAAAACCAACGGCAGCTGAGGCTGATGGGTACCATAGTATAAATGCCCCCTCAGGAACAACAATTAAATAAATCAAACTGATCTGTGCTTCTACCAAGTGTATGTGGCTCAGTTATTGATCCCAACGCTTTGGCTGAGGACTTAAAGATCACCACTAACCAAGCTGCAGTTATGGCCTTCTCTACAGCGTTCGCTTGTCAACTAATTCTCCTCAAATGGAAAAGGACTTCATCACTGGTTTCATAAACGCCGGCTGGAAGACGCCACGGCACACCTCAAACTCTAACAGTTAAAAGCACATTCCTCCTGACTCAACCAGAAGATTTTATAATTTGGGTGTTATGATCCTTAACACAAAGCGAGTGTGATGAGATCTCGCGATTTTAAAATGTGACGATATTTCTCGTCGAGGTGAAAAGCTGTCTTAAGACGTCAGCATGACGGAGTGTGAGGGTGAAATTAGCATAGAAGATGACCCCGCCACTTATAAATGGCAGCATTTTAAAATGCACCCGCTTTGTTTAGAAGTTTGTGACTTTCAGTCAAATAAAGGAAAAATTTTCCAGCCATGTATTTCGTCATTGAAGTTTTCTTTAAAATAGTGTTTAAATATCGTCTTGTCTCGTTCTAGTGAGCCCAGTATCGTCTCAGCTCCTCAGTTAAATGTAACGTCACACCCCTACATAAAACCCTGGATGGGTGTTAAGGATTTTAACCAGGCCAGCCTGTCCAACCCCTTCATGCTCTTGCCTAATGCAGTTTTTAATGATACAGTGGTCCTACCTGTGGCAGTCCAGCGTGAGGTCCCCCAGGGTGTGGATGTGGAGGCCGTGGGGTCCAGGCTCCAACCCATCAATGGTCCCATCAATCAAGCAACGCTCCTCAGACAGCTGCAGGAAACGCACTACCCCCTGGATCTTTCCCACGCCAGCCAGCATGGCCACTGCTGAACCCAGGTCTGCCATAAAACAATTTGTGCGTTGGGATGGAAATTTTATATTTTAATATGTTTACTATGTTACATTTATCTGCTTTACTCTTATAGGTCTATATTTCACCGTGGTGTTTGATGCTTTATTAGGTGAAAGCAGTTCCCATTGGAAAGCAGCTCGTTAGAAGGTTTCTTATCTGGCTGTCCTTAATAGGCCTTCATCTTGGGACTGTTGGTTTCTACCCATTCCTCCCTAAGACAGCTGCGTAATACCCTTACAGTATAAAGTCACCTGTTTCTTACACTCTGCAGACTGGTTGCACTCTGTATGTTTGTCTGACCTTTAGCAAAGAATAAAACCCTTAAAGACGTCTGAATTCTTTATTTCAGAAGACTCACTAAAGGAAAACTGCTTGACAATGTTCAGGGCTGTGATCTCATTTACATGTAGCTTCCTCACATCTACTTACATCCAGGTCGTGTTTAGATGTTACTGCCGTCCATGTATGGATTAAGAATGCATTACAAATGCGTCTTGGTTGACTGCGTGAGATCAGATTATGTTTCTCAGCTCACATTTGATTTTATCTGAGGAAAACTGTGAGCTGAACACAAACATACACAGCTGGAAAGGCAGACTGTGGTGGCTATTTTTATATCACCTATAATACACATTTGTCTGATATGTTGTGCAGGGGCAAATCAACCGTAACCAACTGTGTTTAGGAGGTTAGCTATGCTAAACATGTACTACAAATCAGTTCACCTGTGTAGCACATCAGAATGCAGCTTAAGTGATCAAATCCCAGCGCAGCACAAATATGTGAAATCACACTTCTATTAGACTCTATTCCTAGAGCTTTCTACTTGTGATATGTTTATATGGGGCGGCTGTGGTGTAAGAATGTGTGTGAATGCGATGTAGTATAAAAGCGCTTTGAATGGTTGGAAGACTTAAAAGGGGCATAACAGTTGAAGCTACATTTAAGTCTCAGTTATCCAGCATCTTTCCTCTGCAATGAAAGCAACATGAACAGTTTTCTTGAGATTTTTGTCTGCCAATTTATCCATCCATTAAAAGCAAAATGACCATATCATATTGTGCTTAAAGATTCCCTCCAGTAGTGCTATGCTATGGGGCTTTTTTTCTGTAAGTGGGGGGGGACACAGTCCTGCCAATGGCTTCACACTATTCCACTGATCTACAGGTGGCGGAAACATGCCAAGATCTGCTGCAATACAAAGGCAGGGAAGAAGAAGACTGCTAGCAGGTAAACATCGATGTAAACAATGCTAGATTTAAAATACTATCAAATTGGCGATGCAAATCTTTTATTATTATGGAAGTGCACTCAACACACTCATTTTGACCTCAAGGATACACTGAGTGACACTACTTTTGATCAACTTTTGTTTGTTTACAAGAACACGCCACATGGCACCTTTAAGACAGTCAGAAGTAATAACTTAAATACTGTTCAAAAATTCATCCTGACATACTCACACTCCCTTTTTTTTCCATTTAACAAAAGAACCCCAAGTTCTCAAATGTTGTTTAAATACAAGTATCTGTACCATAAAGTGTGCAATAGTCTTGAAGAAAAGGTAAACAAGATTACAAATCTGACCAGACTTTAACACTCACTTACTTACATGACAACTGACAATTTTTGATACTTGCCGAATGCTACAAATGCTATGATTTGCCCCACCTCTCCAGCCACCATCCTTGGTGACTTTAACATCCATGTTGATTCCAGTGATATTTATGCTGCAGAATTTTTATCACTACTGGACTGCTTTAATTTCACACGTTTAATGTCAACGGCACCACACATGCTAAAGGTCAAGGAGCTAAAAAAATGCTCTGTCCAGGGCAAAAACTAACTATTCTACTACTCTACACTTATTGGCAACCAACAACATCAACCTAAACAGCTTTTTTTCCACTATTAATCGCTTACTCTGCCCACCTGACCCTCCTCAACCATCTGACGCTGCTGGCCTATGCTCCACGTTCCTGGAATACTTCCAGAAAAAGGCAAAAACCATCCACCAGCAACTGCAGCTGTCCAGCTCCTCCCACCTAACCACACTACCGCTGCTGGACACAAACTCTTCAACTGTCTTCACACCTAAGGACTGTCTCTCCTCTTTCTCCCCGCTCAAAACAGCTCAAGTTCTTAAGCTAGTGCCAAAAGCAAATGCCACGAACAGCAAACAGGATCCAAAGCCGACTGTCTTGGTCAAGGCATGTCTTCGAACTCTGGGTCCCACACTGGTCAACATCATCAACACCTCGCTGTCTTCTGGGGTGGTCCCCACCAGCTTTAAAACTGCTGCAGTGATGCCTACACTTAAAAAACCTGGCCTGGACCCAGATGATCCAAACCACTACCTCCCAATCTCCAACCTACCTTTATGCAAGTTATTGGAAAGGGCTGTGGCTGCCCAACTCAACCACCATATGCTACATCACAACCTCTACGAGCCATTTCAATCTGGTTTCAGGACACATCATGGCACAGAAACCCTCATTAAAATCACAAATGACCTTCTCATGGCAGCTGACTCTGGCCATGTCAGCATCTTAATTCTTCTCGACCTCTGCAGCCTTAGACACAGTCTCCTACTCTGCCTCCTCTCTAATAACCTTTAAAAAACAGCTTAAAACACACCTCTTCACTGACGCCTATGGGCTTTAATCTCCCCTGGCATGACCCCCCCCGTTTGTTAAGCGTCCTTGAGTTTGTGAAAGGTGCTATTAAAATCAAGTTATTATTATTATTATTATTGTGGCTTCTCACCTTGCTCTGATCCTCCAATGCCTTTCAGCACGGCCCTGCGTCCAGTGCTCTCTATCAGAGCCTGCACCTCTGCGCTGGTCAGAGCCGATTCCACCAGCACCTGCTCCTTACTGACGTCGACACTGACAGAGTTCACTCCTGCAAACACAGTAACAGCAATAAAAATCTTCCCTCTGATAGGCAAAGACTCACATATACAGTGATTTGAAAACCAACTAATCATTCAAGTTAACACTTAATTTTACCAGTCATCTAACAAATTTTTCTCAATTTATATGTCAATTAATTTCTTGATTAGTCGATTAGTTGTTTGGTCCATAAAATGTCAGTAAATGGTGAAAAATGTCAGTCAGTGTTTCCCACAGCCCAAGAGGATGTCCTGAAATGTCTTGTTTTGTCCACAACCCAAAGATATTCAGTTTACTGTAAAGAAACCAGAAAATACTCACATTTAAGAAGCTGGAATCAGAATATTTTTTACTTTTTTTCCCTTATTGTTCCTCTATTAATTATAAAAATAATTGCCGATTTAGCTAATAGTTGACAGCTAATCCATTGTCAAGAACTATAAAATTTGATACTAGTTGATAGAAGGCGATGAGACAAAATGTTCTGAGCCAGTTTTTTTGTTTGTTGTGTTACACTGAAAAGCAGTTGCTGATTTCTAGAGGGATTTCCTTGACAGAGCTACTCCATTTATACCAAAGTAAATATTCTTTCATCGTTTCTTTATCATTGGAAAGATTACTCACATATTTTGAAATCTCAGTGGACATGTTGACTGTCTCTATTTAGCCTGTAATTTGTGCCAAATTATAATGTTCTTTAGAGAAAACTTCATAGGATGTGACCGACCCATAAAAGCCTGTACGTGTTGAGACAGACTGACAGACAGACAGAGTCCGATATAAGAGCAAGAGCAAGTGATTGGAATAATAAGCAATGATCAGAGTCCAAGTTTAATAGTAGTCTGGGTATATTCAAGTGTTCAGATTAGTTTAAGTGTTCCAGTAGTCCCGATGTGCAAAGAGCAAAGTGTTAAAACAAAGCCATATAAAGTTTACTAATAATGAAACATGCTATTGTAATGGCAGATCAAACATATTGCATGTAATCCCTGGACTCAGAGAGACTCATGTGTGATGTGGCGCTGAATCTGTGCAAACGTAACAGTCAAAGCATCTCTGTTCTCTGTGCTATCCAGACTTCAGGGACATCATGTCTCTGTGGGATGATATGCTTGACCCTGAAGCTGGATACATAACAGGCTCACTCTGCTCTCCTCCCTCATCCGAGCATGCGTGTACACAACGCATCTGTGTCGCTGTGTGTCCATCTGCAGGTGATTCAATAAAATGGCCCAATGGTCACAGTGGAGGATTGAACCCAGGTCTCTCACACCAAAGGCAAGTGTCTTATCCACTGCCACCACCACCCTTATTTAAACTGGAAGTTTTTCAGGTCACATAATTGGTGTAAGTTCAAGGCGCTTGCTATCTGAACAGGGGCTGGCAAATAAAGCCTGTTCTACTTTGGCCCTTGGTCTTGGAATGATGTGCGGACCAAGCTCAAACTTAAATCCCTCATCTCTTTAAATAATTTTAAATCTAGAATAAAGGAAGTGGTCGCCTTTTGCTGCGGCTGCTTTGCCAAATAAATATATTATCTAATATTGCTGTCTTGTCTATGAACTGTGTCTATGAAGGGAATTATGTTACACCATATATTTGTTGTGTTGTGTATTGCTGTTGTACCTAACGTTGTGGTTGTGATTTGTTGTTGTTTGCTGCTATTTGGCCCCGTCTTAACTAGGTTTCACTAGTGAAAGAGGTTTGAATATCAACGCGACTTCAAAAGCTAGGAGTGTTGTTATCTATACTCACCATAAACAAGTGACAGATAAAATCCATAAACAAGTGACAGATAAAATCTGACTGGCATGATCTGCTGTGTTTTGGTCCTCAGCTGTGTAAACCACTACATGACCATTAAAACGAGCTGAGAGGACAAACAGTAGTGCACAAGGAGCATTAAGGGCTCCTTTCACAGTACTGCTGAACATCTAAATGCGTTCTTACCAGGTTTACCCTCCAGAGCAGCTCGGACTTTATCTGCGCAGCTCTCACATGTCATCTGCACCGCAAACTCCAGCTGTGGAACAAGAAACAGACACGGTGGCTGACAGCGCGTGTGCACACGATCATAGCTGTGACTGCAGCGTGTTGTCTTGGCCCGCTGTCTAACTGCGCAGTCATACTACGCAGCAGTCATGTCACAACAGCAGCTGAATAATGCCTGTTTTTTTGTTGTGACATTGTTATTATGGGTGAAATTATGTCGTGATGTAGCAGAACACGAGCCTAAAAACATGACAGATGTCACCGTCTAACCTTGGCTGGTCTCTCCGAGTCCATGTTGCTGACGCACGTCGCCGCCTGTGAACTGAAAACTGAGTTAAATAGAAAACTTCCCACTTTTCTAGAAACGGAAACGAACCAACTGTACCTGCTCCCGGGCGCCGCCATGTTTGTGAGGTCACGGTGACGTCACTGCCCGTTACCGCCGCCAGGTGGTGCAATTTTCTATGTTGTCTTGTAAAGAGGACCAATGCGTCTCTCTTGTCTTTCTACTCGGCTTTATGAGCTGAAAGCCTTACGAAATTAAAGATGGATGTGGAATGTATGTTATGCATGCATAAATACAATCAATACATATTTTAACTACTTAAGTACTTATACAGTTATTTAAGTACTTATGCCTTGTGCTAATCTCTTCACTTTGGCACAAACCTGGTTTGTTTTTAAAGCACTCCATAAAATGTTTTGACCTGGCCCTTTAAACATGAAAAATAAAAGCAGGCATACTCATGCAGTAGTAGGACCCCAGTCAGTGTTATTGTATTATTTATACAATACCCTGTATATTAATTGTTGCATTTTATTTATTGTAGTTTGATCATGGTTAAAGTTTAATCCATAAAAATGCAAAACATTTTCATAAACTGATAAAATTTTTCTTTGTCTTTTTTGCTCTTAGCTGCTACACTGTCTGTCTGTGTCTATCTATAGGCTTAAACACTACGTGTTATATCTTAATCTGCAAAGTAACTGTTAAATTTAGCTAATAAATTAACGTAGTTGGGGTAAAAATTATAGCATTTACTTCTGAATTATAGTGTCGTAGAAATACATAAGTAAAGTACAGTTACTTCAAAATTGTAGTTAAATACAATAGTATTTTTAGGGCTGCTGGTAATAATGATGCAGTAGTTTGCATATTTGTTAATAGACACACAAGTATCTCCAAAATGTCAGCTGGGTACAGTAACTTTGAAAACAGCCTTATTTTAAGTTTGGTGATATTTAGTTTTTTTTCTTTCTCATTGATTTGCAAAATCATCTTATAGTATATATCATGCACCACCCACATTCAAAGCTGCTCAATTAAGAAAACAATGTAAAGACTAATATGACGATACTGCAGGTGTGTGTGCACACAAGAGAACAGTGCTAATGCAGCATATGATGGATTTTATATCAGGGTCGGGCTGTGGGAGGAGGGGGTTATCTAGACACAGAAGATTGTAGTGTACGGACAAACCACCATGAAGGTTGTAGTCATAATGATTGCTTTCTGCAGTGTGTGCTGCCTTCAGTTTAATTTCATAATGTGTACAGATTATTGTTCCAAAGTCGATCTGCAGATTAAAGCTCTGCGCTCCGTATGAGAAAGACCACCACTAAGCTGATGACTGCTTCTCAGGTTTTTAGAGGCTCAGAGGAGACCAGTGTGTGTGCGTGTTCTCTTTACATCCCTGTCATACCTCTTGGCATCTTTTTTTGATAGCCACAACAGAGATAAGCCACGGGAGATAGCAGATGACCATGATGTGGCATAAAATCTAGGTCGCCAAGTCTAAAATAAAAAGCTTCTAAATTAGACCTCCTCCACCTACATTTTGGGATGATGAGTATGAGATGAGTATGGAGAGTGACACATTTTCGCAAAACGTGCACGTGCACTCACCTACAGTGTGTGCTGATCCAGAAAAGCGGCCGTCATTTATGTCAAAACAACACCGAGAGGCCAATGTTTTACACAGAAGAAAGCCGAGCAGCAGCACAGTTAGAACACAGCTCCTTCTGTATCTTGTGGCTCATTGGCTTTGACCTTTGACCCCACGCTCAGTAATATGACCACAGGCTTTAGGAGGGCTGAGCCAGTGTGCACCAGGCTTAAAACACAACAAGGACTGACTTTCAAATGTGTGTGTGAGCTTTGTCTCTCTGTCTCACACACACATCGCCCACGCAGCAGCAGTTAATTTATTCCATGCATGTGAAACTGTCTAAAAACCTTTGCCCTCATGTTGATCCTCAGCACTGAGTTCTTCGTTCAAAGGAGTGCAGGGAGAGCTCTGGTGACACCTGAGCCCAAGGGAAGGGGATTTCATTAAAACACACACAAGCAGAAACACACAAGAGGGAGCACAGCGCTAGAAAGCAGAGTGAAACCTAATCACTACACGATCACTGTCCTCAGTAGATTCAGAGAGAGAGAGAAAGGAAGAAAAGAGGAGAGAGGAGGGAACAGATGGGAAAGAGGAAGAAAATGAGAAAAGACAGCGAGAGAAAGAAGTTGACAAAGAGGTGTGTGTGTGTGTGTGTGTTCGGGGGTCAGTGTGCTGACAGGAAGCGTTGACAGCCCTGTTTGGAACAGTAGAGGTTTTATCTGTAATAAATGAGGCACTATCCTTGCCTTCCTCCGCCACCATTAGCACAGACGTGGAGTTTTTCTTAGACTTAGACTATTTTCTTATTAAAAGCATCAGGAAGGTGAAGCAGCTCATGTTTCAGTGCAAAGCAAAGTAAACTTTATTTTTAGAGCAGGGAACAAAACATTCAACTGCGGATATGAAACCCAACCACAGCAAGACAAAGTGTTTTCTGTCGGATGCTGTAAGACAATGTGGGAGCACTTCTGATTCATTCAACTGTAGGACCGTAAAAAACCAAAGCAGCTTCACCAATGTTTGATTTAACCTTTGGTGTAACCAGACAGTCTTACCTATTAAAGATGTTCTTATAGGGCAAGCTGGTCAGAGAGGTGGGCCATGTGGTGCTTTGTGGACAAAAATGTTGTAATCAATTACTTCAGTACCTTTGAATGTCAGCTTTCAAGCCAACACAGAGGAGGGCTCCCATAAAATGTGAACATATTAAAATTCAATGTCAGACTGTGTCTGCTGAGGAAGATATTGTAATGCAATCAAACACTTATTAAATGGACCTTGTGGTGAGATTGTTTTGTCAGTTTCAAAACTAAATGCAAGCAGATGCAGATTTTCGAGAGATCTAAGAACACGTGATTCATTAATTAACAAATTTGTTTCTTGTTTCTCTGGCCGTGGCCATTTTTAATCAACTGTTGCCTTCCTGGGGCGGCACAGTGTTGCAGTGGTGGTTAACACTGGCAAGAAGGTCGGGTGTTTGAACCTTGGTCGTCCCCGGCCTTTCTGTTTGGAGTTTGCATGGGTTCTCTCCGGGTGCTCCGGCTTCCTCCCACCATCCAAAGACATGCAGGCTAGGTTAATTGGTGACTCTAAATTGTTCTTAGGTGTGAGTTTGTATATCAGTGGCCCGTCCAGGGTGTACCCCGCCTTTCGCCTGATATCAGCTGGGATTGGCTCCAGCCCGTCCACGACACTGTACACAGGATAAGCGGTTAACGATGGATGTTGCCTTCCTTCTGTTCTTTAAGGTAACAATGACGCTACATTTGACAGGAAGTCCCTTATGCTTATGTTATTTTCAGATGCCAAAAGATGATTTAGGTCTTTAAATGTTTGCTTTAGTGAGGTCAGACTCAACATTTTCACCCACATTTCTGACCTTAACTAGACTTGTTCAGTGGCAGGAAGCAATTGAAGGCCATCATAGAGTGCTTTCAGTGTAAGTGAAGTCTAAATAATTCATATGATGTGGTTGTCCTTGACAAACTTGAGGGTTAAATTCATTAATGAATTTGCATGGCAACTGGAATTTACATTGTAAATTAAATTTGGATTGTTCTTCCTCAGGGACAACTATCAGCACTTAAATAAATCAAATGATTTAAGAGTCAGAATCGGTTTTAATGACCCAGCAATCTCACAAGCAATCCCACTTTTACACATTAAAGATAAAAATGTGTTGGTTCATGAACAACAGACGGGGGTCATATTTTTGCAGGTGTTGCACAAAATGAAGATTGTGCAGTAAACAAACCTTCCCACTTTTGACTACAAATCTGTCTTGTTTGGTCTGTTTTGCAGGTTGTTTAGCTTGGTGTTGTGATTCAATCTGGCTCAAAGGTTTTGTTTGGAATAAACGCCCATCTTAAAACATCAACAATTTTGCTTTTAGGTTAAACCTTCACACCTCTACCTTGAAAGAAAGTTTTGTTGCTTTCAGCTCGTTGGCTGTTTATCCAACAGGCTTTGAAGAGGGTTGTAAGTCCTAATTAGTAACTTTGTCAACCCGCTCAAGAGCATTTGATCCATCAAGTTGTTAAAATATAAAAATTATATATTTAAGGCTTGTATTTATTTGTTCATACCTTCCCGACATTTTACCGGTGAATACATACATTGTATTACAGTATTCGTGAAAAAAACTAAAACAAAGTTAAAGCTGAGCTGCTATGTTAGAAGTTACGGTAGCATGTATGACATCATCTAGCCTACAATGTGGCGTGTCTAATATGTAATTAACCTCCTTGGGCACATCTTACTGGGTTTAAATACTTGTGGCCAGTAAAATATTGAAGAGATACAGTAGATTCTTGCTGGAGGACCCGATGACACCTCAGTGTGCTGTACAGAGACAATGTGAACACAGTTTCGTCCGTGTTGGCTGGCTCACCTTTACTATTGGGGCTAAGTCCAAAATACTCCCAAACAGGGGCAGAGGCGTTTACCAGTCCTGTAATGTTTACCCCGCCGTTCGCAGTTACTCCTTTTTGGGTGCAGATTGAGTGTGTGGTTGAGCGAGCAGCAGGTGAATGCAGCAGAGAAGAGGAAAAGCTGAACAGTGTTTAGCAGAAAATGTACAGTGTGGGTTGCAGTTGGCCACCTAAACCTCAACAAGTGAAAGTGGTTATTGTGTCGTCGCATTGTAGATGATATCAGGCAACCTCACGAAGTATCACCGACCTACAACATATCACCACTGAAATGCTAGGGAGGTTCGGTGGCATGCTCCCCTGTTTTTTATTTAAATAAAGCACTTAAATGCTCATTTCCAATGACTTTTGAAAACAGAATGTACTTACTAGTGTGACTGAAAGAGGGTATTTGCAGTTACAGAAGATGGAGAATAGACTGGAGACGGGAGATTATGCAGACTTGGGTGCACAGTCAGAGAGATGCCGTATAATATAACGGTGGGGTGATGGAGCAGTGGATAAGACGCACGCTTTGGTGTCAGAGACCCAGGTGACACGTCCGCCATTGTGTCCCTGAGCAAGACACTTGACCCCTAGTTGCTCCAGAGGCGTGCGACC